TGAGGCACATGGGCTTAGTTGCTCTGTGGCATGTGGGATCTTCCTGGATCAGGGACTGACCTTGTGTATCCTGCATTGGCAGGCAGATTCTTTACCACTGAGCCATCAAGGAAGCCCCACCTGTACTGTTCTGAGGTGTGATAGTTTAAGAGTAAATCTGGCTTGAACTTAATGCATGTTTAGAGGATGTCTAAAATTCAGAACCAGGCAGATCCATCTCCTCTGACCCTAAACATAGTCCAAAGCTAATTGCTTGAAGAAACTGAATCCCTAAGACCACAGCTGGGGAATTTTGAAGTGTGTCCCTATTCCACTAAATATCAAAGAAGCCCAACTGAAAAACTGGACTGAGCAAAAATTATTTTTGAAAGTGTTATCTTAAAAAAAAAAAAAGAAAGAAAGTGTTATCTTGAACAGTATGACTCAAATGGAGGAATTAAGGAGATTGGCAGTGAAAAGGCATCAGAATGTGAAATTACTTAAAAATTTATTGACAAATAATTTTGCTTGTTACATATTAAAAAAATCTTTACACTTAAATAAAATACTAGAAAAATTAGAAAAATGGTAACACTGAAGATTAATGAGGATGTGGTTATTAAGATTTCTTGTGTACTGTGATAGTAATGTAAATAGCACAGCTATTCTGAAAAGCAACCTGTTAATTTTTGGCAAAATTGAGCATTCCCAATTACATAGTGTAGGGGAATTATTCATGTCAATATACAAACTTGCTTAGTTTTGCAATTTTAATAGTAACAGAGTGTTGATGGCAATTTAGGTGTCTATCATCAAAAGAGTGAATGAGTACAAACATGGTAGATGGACAGTACTTATGTGCCTGGATTCTGAAGCTAGACTGTTCAAGTTCAAATGCAGGCTCCAACACTTACAGTGGAAGTAAAAATTTGAGTTATCTGTGCCTCATTCTTATCTACAAAATGGGAGTAAAAATGTCATAGGGTTGTTGGGAGAAGTATATGATTTAAAACAATTAAAGCACCTGAAAGAGAGTTAAGCATTGTTGTTGTTCATACGCTAAGTCATGTTAAACTCTGCAACCCTGTGGACTGCAGCATGCCAGGCTTCCCTGTCCTTCACTATCTCCCAGAGTTTGCTCAGATTCATGTCCATTGAGTCAGTGATGCTATCTAAACATCTCATCCTCTGATCCCCTTCTCCTCCTGCCTTCAATCTTTCCCAGCATCAGGGTCTTTTCCAATGAGTCGGCTCTTCGCATCAGGTGGCCAAAATGTTGGAAACTTCAGCTTCATCATCAATCCTTCCAGTGAGTATCCAGGGTTGATTTCCTTTAAGATTGACTGGTTTGATCTCCTTGCAGTCCAAGGGACTCTCAAGAGTCTTCTCCAGCACCAGAATTTGAAGGCATCAATGCGTCAGTGCTCAACCTTCTTTATGGTCCAACTCACATCCATACATGACTACTAGAAAAACCATAGCTTTGACTATATGGACCTTTGTTGGCAAAGTTAAGCATTATTTAAGTATTAATATTACTGGTAATATGAAAGCCTATGCCAGTTCAAAGTTGTAAGTTGTAGGTTTACGTTTAGCAACAAGAGAATATCACAAAAGCAATAATAACTTTAAAAAGAAGAACATTTATTGCACATCACTTATGTGAATATGCTTACATAACTCTACATAGTTTATAAGATAAGCATCAGAGACATACATTGAACATATATGAATGGGTGCCTATAATAAAAAGTCGAGTTTAGGAATAAAGTGGAAGACTACAAAATAAGAAAGGGGCCTGTTTGAATTATCTTGCTAATATGTTATGAAAGGAGGAACAAGATTTACTCATGCAACTGAAGCAACAGTTAGAACCAGACATGGAACACGGACTGGTTTCAAATGAGGAAAAGGGTACATCAAGGCTGTATATTGTCACCCTGCTTATTTAACTTATGGAACTTCCCCGGTGGCTCAGAGGTTAAAGTGTCTGCCTGCAATGCAGGAGACCTGAGTTCGATCCTTGGGTCGGGAAGATCCCCTGGAGAAGGAAATGGCAACCCACTCCAGTATTCTTGCCTGGAGAATCCCATGGATGGAGGAGCCTGGTGGGCTACAGTTCATGGAATTGCAAAGAGTCAGACACAACTGAGCGACTTCACTTATTTAACTTATATGCAGAGTACATCATGTGGAATGCCAGGCTGGATGAAGCACAAGCTGGAATCAAGATTGCCGGGAAAAACATCAATAACCTCAGATATGCAGATGACACCACTCTTATGGCAGAAAGTGAAGAGGAACTGAAGAGCCTCTTGATGAAAGTGAAAGAGGAGAGTGAAAAAGTTGGCTTAAAACTCAACATTCAGAAAACTGAGACCATGACATCGGGTCCCATCACTTCATGGCAGATAGATGGAGAAACAATGTTAACAGTGAGAGACTTTCTTGTTTTGAGCTCCAAAATCACTGCAGATGGTGACTGCAGCCATGAAATTACAAGATGCTTGCTCCTTGGAAGAAAAGCTATGACAAACCTAGACAGCATATTAAAAAGGAGAGACATTACTTTGCCAACAAAGGTCCGTCCAGTCAAACCTATGGTTTTTCCAGTAGTCATGTATGCATGTGAGAGTTGGACCATAAAGAAAGCTGAGGGCCAAAGAGTTGATGCTTTTAAACTGTGGCTTTGGAGAAGACTCTTTAGAGTCCCTTGGACTGCAAGATCAAAACAGTCAATCCTAAAGGAAATCGGTTCTGAATACTCATTGGAAGGACTGATGCTGAAGCTGAAGCTCCAATACTTTGGCCACCTGATGGAAAGAACTGACTCATTAGAAAAGATCCTGATGCTGGGAAAGATTGAAGGCAGGAGGAGAAGGGGACAACAGGGGATGAGATAGTTGGATGGCATCACTGGCTTGATGAACATGAGTTTGAGAAAGCTCCGGGAGTTGGTGAAGGACAGGAAAGCTTGGTGTGCTGCAGTCCCTGGGGTCGCAAAGAGTCAGACACAACTGAGCAACTAAAGCCAGTAAAAGCTATGTTGAAAATATGCAAGGTTAAGTCAAGAAAAGAATCCCAGAACCAGAGAAATAACCACCTAACCAACTTGGAAGCTATCCTATCCTTGATTTTACCCTTAATCTGGTAATATCATCCTTACCATTTAAGTCAACTTTGGATACGTTTTCTTAACAGAGTATTCCTATAATCTTGAGAGTGGCAAACTGTGGTCCAACGAGAATTATGATTTGTCAAATGTTGGTCAACTGGGGTGTTAGATAACAAGTGGAAGGTTCCAGAAGAAAATGAAAATTTTGAGTGACCTACAATTTTTAGCAAGCCAAACTGTCTCCAGTGTATTAAAAACTCTACAGGTATTAAAATGACCCACATTTATCTCACTCAGAACTGTTCTGAAAAATTCATTAAGTCAAATGACAAATGGGAAATTATATAAAAGCTCTTTACAAATAAAGATAAGATGAACAATGAAGAAAAAGAAATTCATGTAAGGAAAAAATGTCCAATAAACATAAAAATTAAAATATCACTGATCGTGTTTTTTTTTTTTTTTTAAATTAAAACCAGTCACCATTTATCATCAAATGGGAAAAATGTGTTATCATGGTCACACCCAGTTTTGGCAACTGTGTTGGAAACCTCATTTACAATTGGTAGGAGTGAAAACTGGAACATTTCTGGAAGGCATTTGGCAATACATGGCAGAAGACTTAAAATAGTGCATACTTTCTGACTCAGCAGTTCCCTAGAATTTATCCTAAACAATGATCACACATGACAAAAAATATCTAATTAAAAGTACTAGCAAAAAATTAAAAAAAAGTACTAGCAACACCAGATAGTTTATAAAAGCAAAAATATGGGATCTAACTAAAAATCCCAAAGTAGAGGAAATAATTAAATTTTGGAAAACCCTAATGATAGGATACAAATAATAATTATCAATATTTAAATATAAGCTCTGCTCATTTGTAGCTGTATCGCTCAGGGAAAGCTAATTACTGTCTCTGCACCTCAGTTTCCCTGTAAAATATGGGTCTGTTGTGAGGGTTAAATTAATAAACCTACCTAAAGCACTTAGGATAACACTGACACATAATAAGAACTCAATAAAAACTTTTTTTTTAAGCAGAACCTTGTAGCCTAATATCCTGGAAAAATGTTACTGATTAAAAAAATTGATTACAATCCAGTATGTACAAAATGTTTTTCTAAAATGTATCTCATATACATACATTTCTAAAAATAAAACCTAGAAGGATATAAAACAAAATAGAAACTATACATCTCAGGACTTCCCTGGTAGTCCAGTGGTTAAGAAACTGCTTCCACTACATGGGGCATGGGTTTGATCTCTGGTTGGGGAACTAAGTTCCTGCATGCCACGCATGAGGCACACCAAAAAAAAAAAAAAAAACCCACCAAAACCAGCACATCTCTTTAAATAATAGGATTATACGTTATTTTTTTTTAATCTTTCTTATTTTTGTATTTAATTTTTTTCAACAATAAACACATGCTACTCGTACAAAAGGTAAAAGCTATCTATCATCTACCAAATTTAAACAAAACACTGTCATATATTTGCTCCAGTTGGTAATAAGTCCATCCCAAATTAGTAGGGTAGTATGGTAAAAAATCAGAATGATAGGCATTTCTCCTTACAGCTTTTATTACTGCACAATACAAACTTGGTCTCTATTTTACAAACCTTATACACAAAAAGTTTTCTTCCCGAAAACTACTTTATTCCAGTTTCCCCTCTTCCTGCAGAAGGATGATCTAGATTCTCTCTGTTATTCTTAGTGTTTAAGTTAGAAAGGCTGTCACAAAACTGGCCATATGAGGAAACCAGAGCAAAGAACGAACTGAGTTCTCACTGAGTTCCATTCTGAGGGAAGAATACATAGCTGGCAGTGGTGAAATGGGGCAATTATAACATCTTTTCTTGTAACAGCTGAGAACCAGCCCCAGTGGTGGACAGATTGTCTCAGTCACATGAGCCTTTTGGGGTCTATTTTCTCTAGGTGAACCAGAGGTTTCAGCTGCTCCGCAAAGTTCCTCATGTCATCAGAGACCACGTCCTGCCCAGCTGGTGCAACAACACTTAGTTCCACGAGATAGGACAGTGACAAGGCCTCAGTGTTTTCCGTGTTGCCTGGCACCAGGATGCGGAAGACCTTGTACACCACGATCTTCATGATGCCTTTCCGGAACAAGTGTCCCCTGGCAACAAACTCGTGGTCCATGCGAAAGCCCATCTCCATGAGGAAGTCAGTGAGGTTCTCAGATGTTGCAATGTCCACGCAGTTACGCACCAGGGCATGGCGGTTCTTGTCTCCCATCTCTGGCTGCCCCAGGTAGCGAAGATGCCAGGGTGCCCCTGTCCTATCCAGAGAGCGTCGGGCCCTTAGAACAAAGGGACTGGCCTGCTGGCCCTTAAGGAGGAATACCATCTCGTGGTCAACAAAAGTCTCGGGTTCCATGTTGTCACATAAACCACGAAGGCGGTGGATGAGGCTTTCCAAGCTGTGATCTAAAACACTTCCTGAAGAAGGAAAAAAGCACTATTGAATTCCATCTTTCATTTTGCGTAATGGAATTAGTGAAAGAGTGAAAAAAAAAAGAAAAACCAAAATAATGTAGTGCAGTGTTTTGTAAACCACAGGTCCAATATATGAGATTTTAGAGGGGTTACCCTGCCAAGAACTTATATAACAAGTTAATCTCTTTTTAATTTTTTGCACTGTCTTCTTTGGTACTAGAAGTTAGGCCTTGTTTAGTAATGCTAATCTCTAGCAGACTTTGGGGTTTAATAGGCAACAGTATCTACTTAGAATAATTATTTTATTCTATTCTAAAATAATATATATATTATTTACATAAGACAAAAAATAACAAATAAAACAATATGTGTGTGTGTGTGTTAGTTCCTCAGTTGTGTCTAACTCTGCAACCCCACGGACTGTACCCTGCCAGGCTCCTCTGTCCATGGGATTTTCCAGGCAAGAATACTTGAGTGGGTGGCCATTTCCTTCTCCAATAAAACAGAGTATTTCCCTCCAATCTCTTTTCACTTTCCCGGTTTATTTTTCTTTAGCTTAGCACCTTAATTCTTTAGTCATCTTTCAACGTATCAATTATGTATTGACTTTTTAATCATCTTTCTTTCTCTACTGCTGATACTCCAATGCTAGGAACATATTCCTTTATTGACTAAATCTGTTAAAGTAAATAAAAATATATTACTGTAACTACAGTAAATATTGACAGTGGCACCCAAATGACTAAATTTTTGGAGAAGCAAGAGTGGGTCCCAGTTATCATAGGACAGATCATGGGAGTAGAGAGTGGGTCCTACATTCAGAACAGTGTCAAAAAAAAAAAGAACAGTGTCAGACATGTTTTTTTATTCTTCAAACACTTAAGGAGCTTTGTAAATGCTAGTTCACATACTTACACTTAATGAATGGCACCATGCTAAGAAGTAGGGACCTAGTCTGCCCAGAGATTATAGTTTAGTGGGAGAAACAAAAGTAAATAAATAAGTAAACCAATAAAGAAGCGATAAATGGGATATGGAATAGAGAGCAACTGGTAGGGGTGGAGAAGAGGAGACCTCTTTGAGGGCTTGGAGTAGTCAGAGAAGGTCTTCACAGGAATGACAACTGAGCTGAGGCCTGAGGGATAAAAATGAGATGGCTATTTGAAGGGCTGGAACAAACTACAGAGGCTGGGTGATCAGAGGTAGGAAAGAGAGGTAGGGAACACAAAGAAATGAAAGGATCTCAGTGTGGCTGAAGTATGGCAAGCAAGATGGAAGATGATCATGAAATGAGTATTTGGGATGGGCCAAAGCATGCAGGCCTTATTTGCCGCCTGTGCTAAAGGCTGTATTTTATTGTAAGGCCACTGGGCAGTTATTAGCTCCAGACTTTATTCTCCATGCAACAAGGAAAGATATGACTGGATTTACATTTTAAAAAGATCATTCCAGGAAAACTGGTATGGACGCTTCAACCAGACAGGGTCATGTGAAAAAAAGTGGGAGTGAGGGGAGTTAAAAGAGGCTTAAGAGACACAGTTTTCATATGTAATGCATGAGACAATATTACATCCTGGATCAAAACAGAAGATGGAGGAAACTTTTGAATATGAATTAGACATTAGATGATATTAAAAATATACTATGAATTTTTCAGGTAATAATGATAGTATTGGGGTTATTAAGGAAAATACTCTTGCTTTTTTAGAGACGTATACTGAAAGTGTTTGGGGGTAAAATGTTACATGAATGAAACCGTCTTCAAAAACAGCAAAAGGAAAAAGATAAAGCAAATATGGCAAAAGGACAGGAACTGAAATCTAGATGACTCGATCTAGAAATCTAAGTTGACTGTTCACAGGAATTCCCTGGTCATCCAGTGGTTAGGACTTGGTGCTCCCAATGCAGGGGACCCAGGTTTCATCCTTGGTCCAGGAACTAAGATCCTGCATGCCACGAGGAATGACCAAATTAAAAAAATAATAATAGAAATGGAGTGTTAACTATACTAGTCTCTATTTTCTTTTCTCTGAGATTGATTCCTGAATGCATGGCTTAAGCAACTGATGACTGACAGTGGCACTGAGATGGGAAAGACTGAAGGAGAGGCAGCTTGAGGAGTGAAATTAACAATCCTACTTTGTTCACAGTAAGTTACTAAATGGATGATCTGAATTAAAGTCTAAAGTCTTCCACTAAAGATTAAATGACCTCCTGAAAATCATAACCCTCTCTGGGTTTTGAGTTTTCTCATCTGGGAAAGTTACTTCACTTCTATTTCTTGATCTATAATTTGGAACTAATAACAGTATCATAACACTACCATATGATCTGTTAATCTCACTTCTGGGCATTCACTCTTAAAGAATTCAAAGCCGGATCTTGAAGATGTATGTGCACACTCATGTTCACTGAACATTATCTATGATAACCATTTAGGCAGAAGCAATCCAAATGTCTGGCAGAGAAATGGATAAAGAAAATGTGGTACATACAGACAATGGAACATTATTCAGATTTTTAAAAAGAGATTCTCTCACATGCGAAAGGGTTAATGTTGAGGACATTATACTAAGTGAAATAAACCAGTCATAAAAAGATAAACACTGAATGCTTCTACTCCTATGAGGTTATCTAAAGTTGTTAAAATTAGAAACATAAAGTAGAAAGGTTGTCGCCAAGGCCTGGGGCGAGGGGAAAGGAGGAATTACTGTTTAACAGGAATAGCATTTCAATTCTGCAAGATGAAAAAGTTCTAGAGATTAGCTATACAACAATGTGAAATATTTAACACTACTGAACTGTATGCTTAAAAATGTTTGATATGGTAAACTTAATGTTACGTATTTGTGACCATAATTAAAAGTAAATTGGGAAATAAAAGGGTGCCAGAAATTATGCAGGTAGCCTTTATATAACAGCCTCTCATCTCCAGGAAAGCAGAACAGAAAAGAGGAAAACAGGTAATTCAAGCTCCCTAGCTCACTTACCCTGCAGCAGGTACTCCATCATGTTAATGGTGCCCCCAGTGACAGGCATCATGGTGACTGGAGGTGCCTCCATGTTTATCTGTTTAAGTTGAAAACGACAGAAGTAGATTTGGAGTCCCCAGTCAGGTAAAGCACAGGATACACCTGGAGAAGAGTTATACTTGTTAATACATGGGAGAGGCAGAGAGACACCAGATCTGCTTGGGTCATTGGCCTGGACATGAAGATTCATTCCTCCACACATTCAAAACTTTAGTAACTGCTATAGGTCAGTTTCAGGTGATCCAGAAATACACAAAGGAGGCTTGATCATGGAGTTACAGCATAATCTTCCAGTCTCAAGGTCTGAAACCCTTCAGTGGTTTTCTGTGCACCCGGGGACTCAATGTCTTTCTTCTAAAATGAGGCCACGATATTAATTCGCAAGGCTTTGTGGTTCAGATGACATAATGGACCTGCAATTAAAGACTGAAAGGTGACTTAAGCACACTTGTATGCCCTTCAATTTATAGATGAGGATATTGAGGCTTGGGGAGGAGCCTAAGGACACACAATAGGTCGGTGGCAGAACCTAGGCCAGACTAAAATCTAGGCGTTCCACCTCTCTGAAAACCTTTAAAGAGATTGAAGCGAAAGCACGAAGTTCTTTCCATTGATGCTTTGTGTTAGTCGTTCAGCCGTGTCCAACTCTTTGTGACACCATGGACTTAGTCCGCTAGGCTCCTCTGTCCATGGGACTTTCCAGGCAAGGATACTGGAGTGGGTTGCCATTTCCTTCTCCAGGGGATCTTCCCAATACAGGGATCAAACCCGGGTCTCCTGCATTGCAGGCGGATGCTTTATCGTCTGAGTTGAGTTTGCTAGGGAAGCCCCTAGTGATGCTTTAGGGCCTCCTAAAGCCAGCATCAAAACGTGCCCACTTACACCAAAAACACACCTCCGAGAGCGTTCCAGCCTCTTCCAGCAAAGCGGGGGACCGTATTCACCTGAGCGCCTCCGAGCTTTTGAGCAACAATCACCACCCCCAGCCCTAAACTTGAAAACCCCTGTGCAGTGCAACACCTCTCTCGCCTCTTCCCACTTCTGGCAAAAATCTTTCGTCGCGCAAACCTCGACACCGCCACTCTGCGACGTAAGGGTGCCGAGAGGACAGGAAAGTCACTTCGGCTGTACGGCGAGCAGGAGCGCATGCGCAAACAGCGATGCTGCACGGAAGATGGCGGCCTCCTTAGGAGCGGTACTTTGGGAGATTCAGGAGGCATTGACGTCATAGGCCGTCCTCTAGAAAAATATTTTTTTTTCAACGGTGAAGACCTGGACGTGTTTTTGTCCAAGAAATCTCTTGGACCCGAAAGGACAAAGAGACCCTGGGGAAGAGAGTTTCAGAAAAAGAGGAGAGATTGTTGTAAAACAGAAACTTATTTGGGCTGGTTATCTGAAGATAGAATTTCCCCGGTGGCTCAGCGGTAAAGAATCTGCCTGCAGGAGACACAGAGGCCTCTGGTTGGATCCCTGGGTCGGGAAGATCCCCTGGAGGAGGGCATGGCAACCCACTCCAGTATTCTTGCCTACAGAGTCCCATGGACAGAGTGGCTGGCTACAGTCCATAGGGTCAAATAGTCCGCAGGACTGAAGCGACTGAGTACGCACGCACGCACGCAAACTGTTCGGGACCGTGAGGGAGCTCAGCAATACATTTAATATTTGTTCACTCTTCTGTGTTTGTTTTACTTCAATACAAAAATATTGGGAGATAAATAAATTCTATGAGGATTTACCTAACACTGTTTATGTGGCCAGGACATAAAGTACAGGGAAAGAGTGAGCTGGAATAACGTGATTGAAGCCCTCTCTTGGAGCGAAAAATTTATTTATTTATTTTTTTTTTGGAGCGAAAAATTTAAAAGGCACCAAAACACTCAGTAATAAATTTTTAAAAGTTTAATGCAGGGTGAGCGAGTCAAGTGAGCGACGCAGACGCATCCCCGACTGCCCAGCACGACTCCGCCTCCGAGGCGCGGGGGTTCACGCAGAGCAGCTCCCGCTCCTAGAGAAGAGCTGCGCGTGGAGAGCTTTGGTCCTCATCTGGCCCCTCCCCGCGGCCGGCGGGGCGGGGTGGGGCCCACCTGCGCCTCCTGGAGGGCGTGCAGCCCGCCGCAGTGGGACTCAGGCTAACCGCGGCCGCCGCCACCCCTTACATCACTTTGGCTTCTGATGTTTTCATTTCCCTTGCTGAGGTGCTGCTTCTGCGTTAAAGTCATCTTATTGCCTGTCCATTTGTAGACAGGACAAGGTCACTCGAATAGATAAGGAGTCGAGCTCAGAGTGGGCTTCTCTGGTGGCTCAGACGGTAAAGCGTCTGATCCCCTGGTGAAGGAAATGGCAACCCACTCCAGTACTCTTGCTTGGAGAATTCCATGGATAGAGGAGCCTCGTAGGCTACAGTCTATGGGATCGCAAAGAGTCGGACACTACTGAACAACTTCACTCACTCGCGCTCAGAGTATGTCAAAGGTACACACATGTTGGGAGCGGGGATCAAAACAGAAGGAGGGTTGCCAAGTACAGCCAGGACTAGGTGTTCACTGTGTATACTTAATAAAGGCCAGAATCTCATCTATCTCTGGTGGGCGGGTCTGTTGGTTTCACTGGATCTGATTCAACCGGATCCAAACCAGTTTTATGAAATAAAACACTCTGGACTTCGGTAGCCACTGTTCCCATCAAGAAAGGATGGTCCCATTTGGAAGTAAACATGCTGGAGAGCTGTAAACACCACAAACCTAAATACAGGTCACAAGGCTGAAACTGGGCCTAATTAGACCTGAAACCAAAGAAAAGAATTTGGCTTCTCCAGCTGGCTCTCCTATGGACTTTTGATGGTTTATTGCAGCTGGATTACAGGTACTTCCGAAGGTACTGAGAGTCCTGTGGTGAGTCTTCCAGGAAGTTCTGGATAAGAAGCACTTTCCAGACTTCAAGACGGCAGAAGAGAAGTGCAAGAGTCAACTTTGAGTCAAGCTCAAAGGTAGTAGATCCAGGGACTGACAGATTAACCTACTAAAAGTGACAAGAACAGTGGGAAAAACTAGCTGTTCTGCCCCAAGGGTGAGGAAAAATGTCTCAAATTGCAAACACTTATGTCTATGATGTCCCAACAGACTTCATCAATTTTCAATCAAATCATGACAAAGACATGGAAGGCATAGATTCTTCATTTGAGAAGGCCAGTTGGAGGATAAGGTGTGGAGAACTGGGGAAAAACACTCTTTATCCTTTGATTCTCTGCAGAAAGAACACCAGTTACAGGAAGAAGAGAGAAGAACTGCAGACAGGTGAGGTGCCCTTCAGGTTCAAGGTGCACCCATTGCCTTAATTTGTCATCCTTAATCTGCTAGAGAAGAAGGTGAAGGATACAACCAAGCCTGAGCCTTTCTGCCTGGAGACAGAAGAGGAGCCCTGAAGGCCCTGATTCAGAATTACCAGCTGGAGGAAGAACTAAGATGGCAGAAAGCAGCAGCTTGCTTCGAGGCTAGTCCAAATACCACCATCTACCTCAAGCCCTTTTGTAGGGAAAGAGCAAATTAGCCAAGATGGCGTGGTCAGGCCCTTTCTCTCTTGCCCCACATTTTGTAAATAATAATTATGTAACATCTGAGCTCATTTATAGCACTGTGCATGCGCATCAGGAGGTACTTGCTTGGTCAAGGGCTACTGTTTTTCTTTAAGCATATATGAGCTTTACCTGGAAAGCCCTGGCTGGCTATGTTATGGTTATGTGAAGTTATGGCTATTGCTATGGTTGCTGCGTCAGCCAGGAGAGAGACTACATTATGTTACATTATGGCTGTGTTATGGCTTCCGCAGGTTATGTGATGTTATGGCTGCTGCTACAGCTGCTTTGTCAGCCAGGAGAGAATTAAAGGAGTCTGCAGTTCCTACTGCTCCTTGCATCTTCTTCCAGCCTCTTAGCTCGTGTCTTGCCTACCCTGGATTCAAAGAATAGTTCGGCACAGTGAGACACAGGCTGTAGCTCACCAGGCTCTTCTATCCATGGAATTTTCCAGGCAAGAATACTGGAGGGGGTTGCCATTTCCTACTCTATGGGATCTTTCCGACCCAGGAATTGAACTTGTGTCTCCTGTGTCTTCTGCACTGGCAGGCGGATTCTTTACCACTGAGCCCACCTGAGAAGTGCCTGCTAACCAGTGGACTGCCAGGGAATTCCCTTTTTAAACATTTTTTTTAAATGACATTTACTCAAATTTTAGCTGGCATTTCAAAAGTGGCATTAAAAAAAGAATGAGTAAGACATGGGTGAACAATATGGTAAAACTTGGACAAAGGCTCAGGAGTTATAGGGGTGGGTTTCTGTAAAGATGTGAGGCCTGGCGCTTGGAGTGGAGCTTGCGTCTGTCTGTTGTCGCTACCCAGCTGTGCAACCTTGGGCAATTCACTTCCCCTCTCTGAGCCTCAGCTTCCTTTTTTATAAAATAGAGTTAAAAATAGTAATTTCTTAAGCGGGGGAGGTTGTAAAAATAAAATGAGATGTTTATGAAACACAGCATAGAGCCTGGCTTATTGTAAGCAATCAATAAATGATAGCTATTATTATTACGCTTTATATCTCTCATTTGAGCAAACACATTCTATCTTAATGAATATATTTTGTGCATGTCTGATCCCCAAAGTAGATTATAAACATCTTGAAGGGAGGAATCATGCATTTCCTTTTATATATTTGTGTCTTAGACAGCTCAGGCTGCTGTAACAAAATATAAACAAAATGGCTTATGAACAACAGAAATTTATTTTACATAGTTCCGGAGGGTGGAAATCTGAACTTAGGGTTCCAACATGGTTGGGTTCTGATGAGCGCCCTCTTAAGGTTGCAGCTTGCCAACCTCTCCTTGTAACCTCACAAGGTGAAGACCAGAGAAAACTCCCTCTGGACTCCCATTAAGAGCACTAATCCCTTTCACGAGGGCCCTTCCTCTTGACCTCATGTAACCCTAGCCATTTCTCAAAGGCCCTTCCTCCTAATACTGTTACATTGGGTAGTAGGGTTTCACC